ACATTAGGAAGTAAATGTTTTGCCATTTTGCATAACCAAAAGAAAAACATGTGGCCAGTTCTGACATCCCGTTCTGATCAAACTTGTACATAAAAATAGAGAATGAATTCTGCTCTGCCATTAAATATCTAGCATTTCTAATTTATGTAGATGTTAGGCAGCACTTACCAGCACCAGCCAGTCATCAGTATATGCCTGCAATTCGCATAAATACTCTTTGCTTTCAAACGAAATGCACTAAATGGACATTATTGTGAACATTGCTGTGAACAGCTCCATCATGTCAGTCATAGAGTTAGATCCATATGTATTTGGACACTGATACAATGATAGTGTTTTTGCAATGATCCCTCTTTGCACTACCACAGTACATTTTACATGAAAACATTAAGATGTGATTGGAGTTCAGATTTTCAGCTTTAATAAAGGAAATGGGTACGTCTCTGCTGACCCCTCACATCCTGGACATACACTGCTCAAACTGCTGCCTTCAAACAGGCGCTCCAGAGCTCTGTTTAGGAACACCAGCCACCACAGAGACAATTTCTTCTCACAGGCTGTCACTGTGACGAACACAGTTAAATAACCCACTGTTATATTGTTCAGGTCATATAACTTCTGTGACATGTTATTTCTTACTTTTTAAAAAAAAGCTTTTTCTTTTCTTTGCATGCAGGAAGCAAAGTAAACTGGAAGCAAATTCCTTGTTTGTGTGCACAAATGTAGCCAAATAAAGATGTTTCTGATGTTATGACCATGTGCCATTTACCCATTGTCTGCCTCTGAAATGAAAAAGTACTGCTTTATTAGTGTCAGAAGTCTTTACAAAAACCCTCCAATTGTCCCATTCCTATATGGAGTATTCTTGTGTCTCCAGTTTGGTGGTTATGCCAGGATACTGTCCCTCCATTTTACTCTTCATGTAATCCCAGACACACTTGATAATGTTGAGATCAGGGCTCTGTGGGGGCCATACCTTCCAGTACTTCTTGTTCTTCTTTACGTTGAAGATAGTTCTCAATGACTTTGGCTGTGTGTTTGTATCTGGGACTCTCCACCATTTGACCTTAGGACTGAAGAAGCTTCTCGGATGAGAGGTGAAACGTCTTCAAGCAACTTAAAGAAGTCCAGACGCTTTTCTTTGCAAGCTCCTTTGACTACGATGACCTGGATGACTGAGAACCTTCACAGACATACCTGATGGTATTGCATGATGGATAAGTATCTGCCTGTATTTCTCAGGATTAAGAACACGATTAATCCTAGGCTTGGATGTAGGCTTCCTCACATTAATTGACCAAATCTCCAACTCCATTTGCAGAAATTCAACCCCAAACTTTCAAGGAACCTCCACCATGCTTCACTGCTGAAGCATGGTGTTGCTTCACTCACTCACTATTGTACCGCTCTCCAGCACTTCGATGAACAAACTGCCTTCTGCTACAGCTAAATATTTCAAATTTTAACTCGTCTGTCCAGAGCACCCCAGTTCCTATGTTTTTGTGCATGCTTAAGTCACTTGGTCTTGTTTCCACGTCAGTGGTATGGCTTTTTGACTGCAACTCCTCCATAAACATCACTTCCATCCAGACTTCTCCGGACAGCAGATGGGTGTACCTGGGTCCCACTGGTTTCTGCCAGTTCTGAGCTGATGACAGTGCTGGACATCTTCCGATTTCAAAGGGTGATAAGCTTGATGTGATCTGCTGCACTAAGTTTCCTTGGCTGACACTGCGTCTACAATCCTCAATGTTGCCCATTTCTTTGTGCTTCTTCAAAAGAGCTTGAACAGCACATCTTGAAACCCCAGTCTGCTTTAAAATCTTTGTCTGGGAGAGACCTTGCTGATGCAGTGTCCTTCACAACCTCACCTTGGTAGCAGAGTTTGGCTGTTTATCACCCAGTTTTAGGTCTCTTACACAGCTGATTCTGACCATTAGCATCTGTTTGGTATAACTGGTTGATCACCTGACTGTAATCCTACAAAGTCCCTGAATTTGATCAAGTGTACCTATGAGAATTGATGCTGGTTTGTTTGTTCGCTCATTTTGTAAACTGATAAAAAATAAACAATCATTATTTATCTTTCTGAAAGCATTCTCTGTTTACAACATTTTTTCCACACCTACCCAAAACCTTTGCACATTACGAGAATTTACTTCCATTTGTTCCAATTCCAATTGGAACAAATGGAAAAATGTTACAATTCATTTATTTCTCCATAGTTATGACTTTATCATAGAACAGTTTATGATAACAGTCAGTTGTCATAGCACTTCACAGTTTAGGTGTCAGAAAAAAACGGCTTAAATTCTTATATGAAGTAGTAAAAAAGAGATTCATATTCATTCATATCACTACTCTTTAGATTTTTAACTCCCTGTTTGACGCTCTGCACTCGAGCAGACATATAGACGTTGTAGTAAGAGCTCAGTTTGGGGAGTTTAGCCTAATTGACACTCTTCTGAAGTAATTAACATTCATACTCTTTCAAACTTTTTTCAATTTTACATTCACCGAGAAATGATATTTTTACGTTTCCACCGAAGTGATAGCCTCCACTAAAATAGGTGAACTGTACATGGTTAGAGAAAAATACTGAATTTGGTGCTCTCCGTTGTTTGAGTCGTGAAAAGCATCGAATCTCGAGATGAGGCAAAAAGTCTCTCCACCCTTAATTCCCATGAAGTGTTGGTACATTTCAGACAAAGGCTCGCTGTTATCGGTCTGCACAGATGGTTTGTCGACGCCGAATTTGATTGAAAACACAAAAGAGGACTCTAACCGTAAGAGCAAAACAGAGAAGAGCCGACCCCTCCCACCACCATCGTCCTGCAATCCCAGCAGGGCGCGAGGGGCGCGTGCAGCAAGTGTGCCTCTCAATTTCAGAACAGGGTTTGACTTCGTTTGAAGATCTTTTGCAGGCTTCTGATCTCAATATTTTACCCCTTTAGTATTTATTTGTTTACATTTGAAGTTAAATGCTGAACTAAGATAGCTTCACAAATCGACCCCATTGCAATATTATACCTATACTCTATTGCGTTAAAAAATATTAACTCAAACTGAACCAGGTGGAAAGATAGGATATATATTATATTAGAGAATTTAGTAGTAGAATTGAGAATTTTACAGTCATATTTTATTTTATTTTTTCTACCACTGTCTCCGGTAAGACAAAATAATACTGCTTCGAAAAGATATCGACAGAGTCATGCACTCCTGCTCAAACATCTTTCATCTCTGTGAAAAGATTGAGCTTTGTTATGATAAACAACCATGTCACGATAGCGTGGACGCTTAAAAAAAAGAAAACAAAACAGAGGCAAGCTATGGGAGACAACTGCAGCATAGAGTAAAACGGGATAGATGCAAAGCTTCTTTCAGTTGGACCCTAACAACATGGACCTATTAGAAGCTTGCAGATGGGATACCCACGCCAAAACCCGCGTTGAGATCGTGTGTCGTGCGTGTGAGGTTTATAGAAAAAGAGCACAAATGTTTGGAACAGTCTCTCTGTGTGTCTGCGTGCGCGCGCATAGACTGGACCAGGAGACTGCTTACTCCGGATGCGACAGAGGTGCAGGAGGAGTATGTGGGGTGTGGGGGTCATTAATGGAAGTTGGGGGTTGGTAGAGTTGGGAGCTCTTTAACAGACAGCCATCTGGTCCCCGTGGCGCGTGCTGCGCGTGTGGTTCCCCAGAGTGCAGTGGTATTTGATGGGTTGTCATGCCTATCCAGTTTATATTTTAAACAATAACAATAATATCACAGTTATCACTTAAAGTTGGTTCACACTTGGCAGGACAGATTGCTGGGTTATTAAATACTTTTAGACTACGGACAGGTAACGGACAAAAACATTTAAAATGCCTTGTGAGTAAGTTACAACCTGGTGTCCTTTTATATTTTGCTATGGTTATTGTGATTTAATAAAATGCACCCACAGCACCCACCCTTTGTTTTTTCAAGCCCCCACCTCACTGCATGATGCGTTAGCTGTAGTGGGATACACCCTACAGGTAGAGACCTCCCCTGGGTAGAGACTGCATAAAAACGTCACATGCAAAACCATTGTTGTAAAAATCTAAGAACAGATGTTATTTGAAAGTAGCGTGGCTTGGGTATATATGCCTGGAGTAAGATTCTATATCCATGTGGACACTTTTTTTCTTGAATGCAAGCCTGGCCCCTGTGCGACTAATGCATGTGCTGCATCCTCTTGTTTTAAGTTTTTATTTTTTATTTTTAAACACACAGCTCCATGCAGAGAATATATGAAGAATATTGTGTCAGAATTGCACGCATTATATCCCAGTAAACGAACAGATTTGAACAGCAACAGGAAATTCAGCTGTAAAGAAAATCTTAATAATAGCCAGTGAAAAGTGAGAATACGGATAAAATGTGATTCTATATGCGTAGCTTGTTATATTTCACAGTTAAATTACAAAATAAATAATTCTATAGCCTGTATTTTCTTTCTAGGCATCTCCGAACACTGCGTCATTACGCACCAGTAGTGTTTTCGAAACAAAACAAAATTTAGTTCCATCAACTGTGTGAGAAAAAAATGAACCTATCTTTGTATTAAAACATCATATTTAAAATATGATGTAAAATATATGGCTTAATGAATGGATATTTGATGAATTAGCATTTGACGCGTCAAAACTGAAAGCTTCTTTACGCACAAATTTCCTCAGCTTTTTGGCACAGATTTTGTTTGGTCTATGGATCATAGCGCAGACACGCACCGCAGCTACGCTTGGATTAAAGTAAAAGACAGATGGTTATCTGACTAAATTTGATGCTTTTGTCTTGTTTTCGTAGAATGTGGGTCCCGTTCAAATCGTTTTGTGCCGGCTTGGGGGCGTACCCATGACGCACGGAAACCGACGCCACGGACCTGGATATATACCCCAGTACTTGGCCGTTAGAGGCACAACTTCGCCTATCTTGGTTTTGAACACTACTCTGGCACAAAGTCGACGCTGAAAATGTCTCCGAACATGACATGCGAAGCTCTCCAATCTTTTTCCCCAAAGCTATCTCTTGCCAAAAGAAAAGAAGCTCTTGAACTGAGAAAGGTAAGCAAAGTGGCTAAATTTAGTTTCATTTCCTTAAGTATTTTTTACCGCATACTTCACACATGTTGTAATGAATGAATACTAAATTCTATGTGTCCTTTTGTTTCAGACTATGAAACCGCTAATGGAAAAAAGAAGACGCGCCCGTATTAACGAAAGTCTGAACCGCTTAAAAAACCTAATCATCCCCCTCACAGGCAGAGATGTAAGTTGTTTGAATTTACATTTTCAGTATGCTCACTTTGCAGATGTAACTGACTATAGTCAGCACAGCATTTTGACTCGTACATCTAACATCTTCTTTTCCCTTTTGTCTCCAGCACTCTCGTTACTCCAAGCTTGAGAAAGCAGACATCCTGGAAATGACCGTGCGGTTCCTCGGTGACATTCAACCTGCTAACGCTAAAAGTAAGTTAGCTATGACTTATTTAACCCTTTTATTTCTAAATGTATTAACAACAGATTAGATGAACATCAATCCTAACATTTATCTGTTTTTTCAGGTTCTGTAGAGAATTACAGGGAAGGTTTTAAGGCGTGCCTCAAACGCGTCTCTGTTCTGCTTCCCCAAACCAACTTGGATCCAGACGCACACCAGCGCGTCAATGAATTTGTCCAGCAGTCCATATCCGCCACCGTCACCCCAACCTGCCTGAACTGCTGCGCCCAGACCTCGATGACTTTGCCTCAGATCCATCAGAGACTCTTGAGCATCAAATCCAGCTTCAGCTCCAGGGTGCAGAGTCAGCAACGCAGCAGCGCAGCGGTCCCAAACCATGCGCAGTCAGACTCGCAGACTGCCAGCGCTGCAGTGTGGAGACCTTGGTAAATTTTTTAAGTGGTCCTCCGACAGCTGTAAAAAGACTGTAATGTGTTTAATGTTGGGAATAATATTGAGAGAGCATTACCTGTAAATACACACAGTGATTAAGAGCTTGGATTCCGTGATGAAAAGCAACAATTCATCGTATTGGTTGAGTATTGTATACTCGTTTTGCGCGCGAGTCTTTTGTCCTGTACAAGCTGACAAGTGTAGACAGTCGTGTATATATGAATTTTTTAAAAATCTGCATGTATGTATACGTTCAATATTTAGTCCTCGTCGCGGACTAAGTAATCAGGGGCCATTGAAACAGCCCTGTAAGACCCAAAGGGTCAGTTTATGTCTGAATTTGCACAACAGACTTCAGAGTCCTGAATCTGTGCAGATGAACTTTGTAGACATAAAATGTCTGCAGTGAGTATCTCTGTTGGGGTGTGTTGTATTTTTGCTGTTTACAGCAAATTGTATTGTATATTTTGTACAATAAATGAATAAATAAACTAGTTAGATCTCGCTTTGTGTTTTTGCTTAGACTTTCTGGTCTTTTAAAGGTTTATTGATATGGATCGTTTATTCAGTAATAAAAGGAAAAACGCTCTTTGGACCATGACTGTGATTTTAACTGTAAGGACAGGGGCAGGACAAGGCACGCAGCAAATTTGCAAAGCAAAACTGGCAGTATGAACTGACCTATATTACAGGAAGAAAGCAGACAATGCAGCACCAATGTGTACATAAAAAAACGGAGTTTTTTGAGCTAAAACGTGGCGTAGAGAATTGAATGCATTTTTTTACATTAATGAACAAAGTATTATATGACACAGTTGTCAGGCAGATGTGAACAAAACTGACGCCACTGGCTGGGACGCATTTTGAGGTCAAATGCGCCCACAGCAGGCAGCATAAAATATTGCTCCTGAATGGATAGTTTGAGAAAGTGCGGTCTCTGCTGCCCCCCTCTGGGCGATTATAGGTATTGACATAGCTGAGGTTTCTGTTTCTCAAACATGCCTTTCTCATTTAACAATTTAGGAAGCTATGGAATGCAAAGGATCTTCTCTGGCTTATTATATCGATAATATAATAGTTTGTTATTTTAGGGCAATTTGAAAGAACAGATTTTGCAAAACATTTAGCAGATAATTTCTACGAGCTCTGCACATTTCCTCTAATCGAGCCATTTCGCAAAGACACTGCGACCACAGCAGCCGGCGGACGCCGGGAGAGTGATTTCCCTTCACATCACACACGAATCTCACTGCAACACGAGAACCATGTCGGCACCGCAGACGGGCGAGGCAGCATCCCCCCTTCAGATATGCAGGTAGGACGTTTAATAAGACACGTTTACACGAGTGCTACCTTCACACACATGCTAATAACGTGCTGCTGGTCGCCAAATGACGAGAACAACGCGGCTACCGGCGTAGTTGCGTGAGAGCTGCTGAGAGGACGATAACCCAGATAATCCGCTTCTGCTTCTTTTTATATTTTTGCGCAGACTCCATCGCCCGAGGCGAGTTCAGCCGCTGGTTCAAGATGTTTGACGTGTGCTGTTGTATAAAATACGAGACGCAGTTTTTTCAGGATGTTTAACGTTCGAGCTTCGTCAGAGGTGCGGACCATCTCAGCCGCGTTTCGCAAGTGATGACCTCAGCGCGGTTAGCTCATACAGAACAGGCGAAACACGGCCAAGGACGAAGGCCACTACCATTTTACCCAAAGTCCAAGAAAAGTAAGCACTTTATCGCGTGAAAGTTTATCGCGTGACTCAATTTGTCTGGACATTAGTTTAATTAGTCCGCACTTTGCCCCTTTATTTATTTAATCAGATAATGAACAGATGTAGAGCCCAGAAAGCAAACAGCCATCTGTGATAATAAGGGCACGACTGCGACCTATTAAAATACCTTTCAACTGCGCGTAATTTTCCAGAGAATAGGTGGTAGTACTTGCGCCCGTCCGTAGATGGAGCCAAACTTCTCTTGCGCACCTCTGCTATGTCAGAAATATATGCCTACATTTAAAGAAAAGAAAAAAAGGAAAATAAAACATTCCCTCAAGTAAAAACACGAAAAACGACGAAAAAGACGGAAAAAAAAATGCACAATCAAAAGAAGATTTAAATTATTCTAAAACAGCAACATATGATACTTATATAAGTCACTATGACATCTATAGGACATTTAAATGGTAAATGGCCTGTATTTATATAGCGCTTTACTAGTCCCTAAGGACCCCAAAGCGCTTTACATATCCAGTCATCCACCCATTCACACACACATTCACACACTGGCGATAGCAAGCTACATTGTAGCCACAGCCACCCTGGGGCGCACTGACAGAGGCGAGGCTGCCGGACACTGGCGCCACCGGGCCCTCTGACCACCACCAGTAGGCAACGGGTGAAGTGTCTTGCCCAAGGACACAACGACCGAGACTGTCCAAGCCGGGGCTCGAACCGGCAACCTTCCGATTACAAGGCGAACTCCCAACTCTTGAGCCACAATCGCCCAGTTTTATAAGTTTTATAATCTTTTCTCATTCTTCACTGCTCAGTGTTCAGTTTCTGAGAAGTTTACCACGGTCTTCGGAAGACTTTCTGAAGCCAGACAGTATTAGTATTAGTATTAATGAATCATAACTTCAAAAGTATTTCTTTAAACATTGGGTCTGATCCGCCCCCCCTCGTGGAGGATGTCAAGTATTTCTGGCTTTGCATGATTGATGCGTTGAAACCTTTAGGTGACTGACCATGTGGGAGTAAGTTTCCAGTTACTGGGATGTTGCGGTAAGATGCTAGTAGTTCGATTGGATATGAACTTCTTTTCTGTAATCATGAAAAAATGTAATGTTTACAGTCATAATAATACAGTGATCATCAAAGATTATGGGATTATCTTTAATGATCACAGAAAACAAAGGCGACAGTCACAGGTTGGGTCAGTGAACATATTTATTTAAGCTTATGCTATAAACTCACACTATCTACTTCAGCTACACTACCACAAGCCCAAAACAGATTTAGCCTTGCTAAACTAACATGAAAACCATGTAATGTCTAAAAGCAAAGAGCGAAGAAAAGAATCCCACCAACCACAGGTTGTCACAGACTGATTGGATGATTCACTGTATAAAAGGTGCACTCACTTATCGAATACATCATTCTTCATCATGCTTCAGTGCACCAGCTTCTAGATAAATCACTCACAGAATTCAGTATGAGTGCATATTTTCAACATTTAAGGGCTGAAAGTGTTTCAATCCTTTACAAAAGGATCAATACAAACTATTCAATCACCAGAACGTCACCTTTTGGGCCGTGTGTGTGGAAAAGTCACTGAGAGCCCAGCTCAAACCCAAAATCCTAGTGGTATACTCATCCTGCTCTCTTCTCTCCTTCCTCTTGTTGCTGCACTGGCAAATTCTTACAGAGTTGATGTCAACAGGTTCGTGAGCATTGTGCACAAATGACAGGGAGCAAGGCCAGGAAGTGCAAGTTTATTATGTGAACGTCTCAGCAGGCCCTCTGCCATCAAAGCTTTTCAGAAAAAGTGCCTATTTTAATCAATGGAGTGTAAAATGACTGAATAAATATTTGCAGAGCTAAAATTCAAATCATAAGGAAAATGTGTACTGCATAAAATTTTTTAATAACATGTCCACTTTGCCACTTTACCACAACACTATGACTGTAAACACCCAGTATAGCCCAGAGGACGGCTTTTTTTGTTAGTCATTTAGATTGAGGTCTTCCTAAGAAGTTACCCTGACTGATCCATTGGATATTCTGTCTTTGCACAATGATCTTTAACGTCACTGAACAGTTAGAAGTGGATGTATGTGCATTAACAGGAAGTTGGTCATCTAGTTCTTCTTTAAGTCAGCTTCACTGACTATATATCAAAGATGCGCTCCGTCTGATTTCTTCGCTGCAATAAGAAGCTAAACAGGATCCATCAAAGCGCCCTCGTGATTAGTTTAAGAGTGCATTTGGAAGCGTTATGATCTTTATATTGTTGGCTTTCATTTGGCCTCATATCCAATATTTTTTGACTTTCATTTTGGCACTATTAAGAACTTCAGATTGCTTTTCTGCAACACACTAGGAAGGTATATTTTTTCCAACTGTTTGCTCAGAGTTCAGTTTGTTCCTCTCTAAAAGATTCGTACAACGGCTTTGTGAAAAGCTAAAAAATATAAACAATTTATTTTGTGACTTTTAGTACAGAATAGGAGAACACCAAGTGGTAAGACAACATTCTCTGACTTACTGTTTATGCATACAGCGATATGGATGTGTGAGTGTGTTTGGCAAATGCCTGTCTCACGTGGTAATGTAAGTATGCTTGCAGTTAAACACTAGGATGCAAAATCACTTTCACACCTGTGCTGTGATCTTGTTCTGTGGACAGCCGGGAGAGAAATGACACTGAGACCCCAGTTTGTGAAGATAATTCTGTCTTTCAGCCAACATTGTTCTCGACGCAGGTAAACTAAAATAAATAAATAAATAAGAGTTTTTTTTCAACAGGCAGAAGCTTTTGTCTTAGGCACCCATTAACAGCAATATTTTGCATTTTCAGTTAGTTGTCATCTATATATCGTTTGTATGTTTAGTCCAGTGGTGCTGCTTCTAATCAGAAACAACGTCAGCTTTTGTGTACTCACCTGTGTATATAATCTGTGTATTATAGATATTTTGGTTGATTTACATGAGTAAACAAGTGATTAATCAACTACATCCTGATTTGGAGGTGTGTAAGTGTGATTTGAAAGGTTTGTGGACTTGGCTTTCTTTATTTTACTTTTTTAAGCCTGCTATTCTGTTGAACATATTAAACTGTATTATGTTGGTACTGGGGTGGTTGTAATCTTGGCCAAGTATCTTCAATTTGTTTCCTAAATTTCAAAATTTAGTCTTTACTATAGAAAAATACAGTGGAGAAACATTCTCGTGAATTAAGGATCTGAGACAAGTTTCATTCATCTGGTGCTTTGCATGTGTCGCAGGACATCTTGGCAGATTTGTCACTGTCAAACTCTGTCAGCTGCAAGACTCAAACCTCAATGTGATGATGACTTCTTTCATTAGCTAACTCCTGTCTGTCTTTGTATCAGCGGGTCTGCTGAGATCCAGTTTGACTAGTTAATGTGGTTTGAGCGGTAATACTCCATGACATCACTCAGACCATCAACGTCAGATCTCAAAATCTTGAAAGCTGGGTTCTTAGAGCTCATACACAGAGGAAGTGGGTGAGAGACGAAGACTGAGAGCCAGTCCGTGTTTAGAGATGGATTGCTCTAGGGCTCAGCAAAGTCAGGCTTCAGATGAAGTGGATAAGACGACTGCAGTGGTGGAGAAACAGCAACATAGTCAAAGTAAGCAAGTAAGCAAAGATGTCAGGGAGGGTGAGAAGACTGGAGCTTGGAAGTGTACCAAAAATCATCTTAGCAGGTACTTGGTTACTGATGCACACACACCCACACACACAGTCTGTTTTGATCATTTTGTGTTGGTTCCTAGTCATTTCCTACATATGGTGAGGAGTTTTGTGAATTCTAGTAAATAGAAAACTGAGAATTGTCAAGTTTTATGGGAAGTTATTGATCACCTTTCTATTACACAAGGGCTTACTAATGCTGCCAAGCTGCGTATTGTCTTCCTTTTTGTTCTATACACACACACACACACACACACACACGCACATACACACACAGTCTAAATCTTAACCGTGTGTGTCACAGAATTAGTCAGTGCAGTGGCGCACTGCATTATTGTGGTTAGACATTTGTACATTTTGGATTAACAGTGCGTAAAGTGATTACACCAGGTATAACTGGTACGACTCGTTTATCCATACACTGAAGAAGTGGAGCCACTTCATGCACCGTCTGCGATAATGATGCTGTGCTTGATAACACTATTCGGGAAGCTTATAATACAGTTGGTGATATGTAATAAAAAGATAATGACACAAATTTGAATGTGAATCAGACCGAAAGTCATGGGTCATATAAAGAGCCTTGAGGCGACTGTTGTTGGGATTTGGCGCTGTGTAAATACAATTGAATTGAATCGTAGTAATGCATTCATTAATTATTGCAGGATTATGCGGCCAGACGATGCCAACGTTGCGGGCAACGTCCACGGTGGCAACATCCTCAAGATGATAGAGGAAGCCGGATGCATTGTCGGCACGCGGCACTGCAACACACAGAACGGGGTAAGAGACAACAGCCACTGTCTTTCTGGACTGTGCTATCGTACTGTTGGATAAATGAAGTCACGGAAGTTCTCCATAAGTTCCTCTAATGTTCATTTTTTTGTAGCAGAGAGGTGTCATTTATATAATGCACTGCAGTACTAAATGTTTCTATTTTTTAGCACCTGAATAAAGAGACTAAAATATGTTGTGAATAACAGTGTTGAAAACTTCTGTACTATAAGTGTGAATTGACAGAAATTAATGCAAGAAACTAAGAAATGATAACCATTACTTTTACAACTCAAATTTTAAAAAAAGTTTAAAAAAATGTGAAAAATTAATTAAAAACACAATAAAGGAAATACAAAATCTCAAAAGGGAGTTATTTCTGTCTAACTTGCAGTTATACTAGCATTAAAAACATATTTATCAAATTAGTGAAGTTTCCATCCATCCATCCAATTCTTCCACTTATTCATTGTACTGGGCTAGGATATAGCCTGCCAATCACAGGGCTGACACAAAGAGACAGACAATCATTCACATTCACACCTAAAACCAGTTTAAAATCTCAAATTAATCGAAACCCTGTGTATGTCTTTGTGGGAGGAAGCCAGAGCACCCAGAGTGAACCCATGCAGACAAAGGGGAGAACACACAATCCCAGCCTGGATTTGAATCTAGGACCTTCTTGCTGCGAGGCGACAGTGCCTCACAGACAGTGACATCTGCAGTTGTACACATCATTAACCTCATTTGGACTATACAACCTTGCTCAGTGGTATTATTTTTATCACTCAGTGTACAGTCATGTAACTGGGGGAATCAACCTCAGTGACTCAGGATTTTAAACCAGATTTTCCCTCTGATCTTCCAGCAGAGCAATTTCCAGATTCCTGCCATTGCAGTCAGATGTTGTGATTATGTGACTATGTGTGTATAAGTTTTGAGTCTGCTGTTTGTCTTGTATAGGACCGCTGCTTGGCAGCTCTGGTTCGGGTGGAGAAGACAGAGTTCCTGTCCCCCGTGTTCATAGGCGAGGTCACCCACGTCACTGCTGAGATCACGCACACCTCCAAGCACTCGCTGGAGGTCCAGGTCAAAGTCATGGCTGAGAATATCCTCACAGGTGAATTGCTGTGATATTCAAAAATGAATGCCTAACCCTAACCCTTAGCCTAAACCTAACCCTAACCTAAATGTAACCCTGTCACTAAAACCACATTTTGAGTCTCAAAAATGCCTTCAAACTTGTGGAGGTGGGCATTTTGTCCCCATAAAGACTGTTGGTCCCCACAAGTATAGTAACATTACAATTTTTGTTCCCTACAAAGATATGTAAACATGGTACACACACACACATTAAACCTGTTTGGGAACCGTTTTATAGCATTTTTCAGTTAATGATGAAAGGGAATTTAATTCACACAAACGATTTTAATCCTGCTTAGTTTACAGAAAAACTGTTTGTTATAAGATAAATTTAACATTAAGCAAGCTACTTTTGACTGCTCCCTTGCCACAAGGGGTAACCACAGCGGAAAGTGTCATGGCTACTGAACGGACCCACGCGCAGACAGTTCTTTCAAGGAAACAAAAACGGGATTTATTTACAATAGGGATCACCTTAGTGCAAAATATATGTACAGTGAGTTGGGAGGGGGTCCAGGGCTCCAGGGAGAGAAGGGGGGGGGGGGGGGGGATCCACACACACGCTTCCTCTTCCACTCAGTCACCGCCACCGCTCCTCCGCACACACGCACTCCTCTTCAGCCGCACTCGCTCCAACACTCCACACACTGCCCCACTTGGACAGGTCTGGTGATTCGGTCCAGAATCTACAGACAGAAGGTCAAGGTTAGTTCCACAACATAAAACACGTGTAAGCGATTCTTCTTTGAATATGCCGCGAGCACGAACTCAGGTGGTTCGACGTTCCAGCGGTGAGCTGCTCTGTGCCACTGCCTTAAATAGCAGCTGGGGAAATCAGCCGGATCAGCCGCAGGTGGACACCATCCACAGGGGTGCGTGGGCCAAGAGTGAGAGCCCGTAATGAGCTCCACCCAGGCAGAGAGGAGGAGGAGAGACAAAAAACTAAAACTAACAACAACAAAACCTGTAGCCAGCGTGGGCCAACCAGAGAGACACGGGGACCGTGACAGAAAGATCTGCAATTTTTAATTGACTGATTTTTATGTCCTAAACAAACCCAAAGGGGATTTATGTGTCCAGTGGAATCTAACCAGCAGTGGTTAACTGCACATCAGCATGCACATTGATGTAGGATTTCTGCTTCCTGGATGATTTTGTTTGAGTCGCACTACTTTATCTGTGCATCGTTGTTCACCTTTAGCCTCATTCTCATCATTTCAGAGAACCAATGGTATGGTAAACATTGAAACAGGAAGTTGACTACAGAAAGATAAAGTTGACAAACACAGATATACAAATATCTGCATGTTCAGCCTGTACTGTAAAAATTGGGGCTGCAACTAATAATCTTGTGTTATTAGTTGGAACAAGTAACTATTTGGAGCTTTTGCTTGGAAATATCTTAATCAGTTCTCAAAGAGCTCTCTTATTCAAAAAATTAACATGTGACATAAAAAAAAAGCAAACGTGTGTGTGAAAGTTTAGCAGTAAGCGTTATGGTGTAAAAAGTGCATAGGTGAAACTTTTTGTCTGGTTATTTGTGCAAGTCAAACATTAGTTTTGTCTTTATCTCTTTGTCTCACTGTCAGGCAGAAATATTTATGAATCGGAATTTATCTCTGTGTTTCACGCGTTATTTCTTAAATGGGAAAGACTTCCTATGGAAATATTTTGTCACTTCTGGAAAATTGGATTACTTAACGATCAATGAAAAATGACTTCATTGTGACATTCCGCTGTTTAACCACAAGAGGGCAGCACATAGTAAGTGGTACTGCTTGTGGCAGCATGAATAATGAAACGCTTTCACAAGGGACTGCATTACGTGCTGTGATGGGGGAACAGAATGTAAGAGGGATGCTGATTTCTAGAGTATTTGGCAACTGATGATGTTTCTAATTCTGTAATACACGTAATACACTTTATTTATATGTGTGCAGGTTAACTTGAACACACAGGCTCCCACAATTCTCAGAGTACCTCAGGTAAAGATGCAGAGACCACTTTGGGTTGCTGTATCTGAACCTTTAAATGGCACGGGGACAGAAGTCTGCCTGTGATAAATGTCTCTACAAATTTAATGTCTTAAGGCACTGTAAAGTATGTAATTAGGGGGTTATCTGTGAGTTTTGGCAGTTTACACCAGGTGCAGTTTTTAAGTATGAAAGAAAAGCAAATTTTAATAGTTGTGCAGTGGTGGTGTCCATCTTTCAGCTGGTGAAACTAAAGACGGGAGGAAATGGAAAGAGAGGCAGATGGAGAGCAGCAGACAGACATATCGATGGGGAAAAAGATAGCAAAGAGAATTTAAGAGGAAAAATAGCAAGAGTAGCGAAGAGATAGAAAGAAGGATGAGGAAAAGGAGGTGTGGGAAACAAAAGAAGTATCCCCTAGACAGCCGTTGCCCTAGCAACAGGCTTATACTGGTTGGTTGGCTGGTTGCTGGGCTGAAAGCAGGTTGACGGAGGCGGAGGCACAGATATGAGGTGACAGGTGGAGAGCAGCATACATACGTGCAGGCACCGGAATGGACAGCCCTCTACAGTGAATGGCCCGTTAGGAAGGACCCCTAATGAGGGGGAGATCAGGAAGCAAGCACATGGACTCGAAGCATTGTTCAGTTTGGTTCAAACATTTCTAACAGGGGAGACATTTTCAATAAAATGGAATCTAGCTTCCATTCCTATATTCACTATTTAGTCACATCAAGTTTGTCTTATAAAACATGCTAAGAAATCCTAATTTGCATTGCAATATGTAATAGGTTTTAAAGCAGTAGTCCACAGTTATAGAAAATGACACAATGCATCTTCTGGTACTTTCAATCATTATTAATTTCTAAATTTTCTGTTCTCTTGAGAGTGAAAAATCTATTACTATACTCGCATAAACAAAGAAAAAGGATTCGTTCTGAGGGTTTGAGTGTAGGTTTAGTGTCAGGGCAATGTGGGTGTAGTGTAAATAAGAGGAGTTGTAGCCCGGGGTGGGAGCAGGCATGGAGGTGAGTTCCTCTGGGACATCAAACTTTGCTACTGAGGTCTCTAGAGGCTGTGTGGGCCAAGCACAGTAATAGAATTAGTTTATATTGTATGCTAAATTTTATGTACTGTAAAAAGTACACTGTTTTCCTGGTTCACACTTAACAGCAACTTATGTTAGTCACAAATACCCCCCCAAAACAAAGTCAAGTCAAAGTTTATTTATATAGCACATTTAAAAGACTAGTGTACATCAAAGTGCTTCACAATAAAACCGCAGTGCGGGCAGAACAAAGAACAAATAGTACAATTATACTTAAAATTGCATTTACATGGTGTAGTGCAGGCCGAATGAAAGTCAAACTAATTTGTTTCAAAAGCTAAGTTAAACAAGTGTGTTTTTAAACGAGATTTGAACGATTGAATTGATTCCAAAGTACGGATTTCGACTGGGAGATAATTCCAGAGTCTAGGGGCAGCGATGGAAAATGCACGGTCACCTCTGGTTTTTAAACGAGACCTTGGTTGCATTTGGAGCAGTTGGCTGGAGGATCTTAATGCTCTCTTTGGGTTGTATGGATCAAGGAGATCAGTTAAGTAGCTAGGAGTCATGTTATTTAGAAGAGAAGAAAACAAAAGTACAAAACTGCTACAGATATTAATCATTTGAAGCGATCGAAACCTGCATATAGTAAAGTGAGCTGGCAATGTGAAAGACTTCATTAAACATTTAAAGGAGAGCCCGAGAAGGAGCAGCAGCTTGGTGGTGTAGTAGGTCATATTTACAGGAAGTGGGCCATATTTGTTTGTATACTGTAACTATGGCTGTGCATTTGAGTTGGCGCAGCTGCGAAAAGCCAATGGTTATGCATTTAATGGATCTATTTTTGTCCAAATCTCAGTAGAATACAGTATGCTCAGCTGTGGCCGAGCACATGTTTTTAGTTTGTATTCTTGTTAGATGTGCACTTTTGTGCCTAATTTTTTGAATGCATATTTGGATGTTCCATGCGCACTTCATACATGCATGTGGGTTTTCGTCTGTGTTTGGCTCTTTAAAAGGTTCCTGCAGGGCAGAGAGGGAAGAGAAGATAACGGGAGCAGACATTATTTGCTTCTGTCATGTTGGCTTAGCATCATGGCTCACACAATGTGGCCCAGTCAGACACGGATGCCAAGTGGATGTACCTGCACACATTCTCCGTCACAACGCATGCACGTACCCAACACACTGACCCACGCCCATACACACACGGGGTTGTGCAGGGATGACCTGCATGCATGCAGAGCCTCATATGTAGACACAGAAAAAGAAATCACACACCTACGTGTTCTCACACCCACACTGAATGAGCACAGTTTCCTTCTTGCTAAAAGAGAACACATACCGAGACAGGACTGGCAGGTTTTACATATTCCCGACCAGCTCTTTTCCAAGGCAGAAGATTGATGGATTGCTTAAAACAGGAATACAGAACAAAGGATTTTACCAGTTGTAGACCAGATTATGCACTTTGTGTATTTTCTGGTGTACATCACAGGGTGTGCATTTGTGCAGCCGTGCATGCTTTTTTAGCTCTGTGCAGATGTTAATGTGCATGCTCCTTGTATCTTGCACTCTTTGTGCAAGGATCTTTGCATTTATTTAATATGTATGTGTGTGTGTGTGTGTGTGCGCGCGTGTGTATGTGGAGGAGGCAATCATCCAGGTTCCACAGTCAGTCAGGCAGCATCTCGTCAGGCAGGCCTCAGTCACAGACCCTCAGGGTAAGGCTGCCTACTGTGGGCACGAGCCGTGATGATTGTCCCTGCTGGGGGGATTGCGCATGCGTACTAACATACACATGCACACTCACAGTCAGACCTACACACACTACAGCACGTGCAGATTTGCAGATGTGAGAATACACATACATAATGAAATGCCACACTCTCTCACACACACACAAACACTCGCCACTTTATAGAATGTGCACATACACGCACACACACACATGCA